TTTAAGAGAAATGTAGGGGGTGGGGGCGGGAAGACAGCGTGTGCTTCTTCTAGAAGGGGCTTTCTAGCTAGTTCCTATTTCCTTCTTCCACTCTCTCTTTTCCCTTTTCTGCTTTCTTCTCTGGATGCTGGAGAAGGGACAGGGTGTTTGAGCTCCCATGGGCAGGCTGTGTGCTGGACCTGGTGAGGCTGGCTCTGTGGGCTTTCTGTTGAGCGGAGCTGGATTGTGGGGTCCCCCATCCTACCCTCACTTCCCCTCGAGTTCATGCAGCCTTCTCTTCTCTCGACAAGATCTGAAGCCATTTCCACTGTTCTGGCTGTGGTTTGAGCCTTGTATGCTCCCAAGGGCCCCTCACCTCCCATCATCAGCTCGAAGGTGTCTTCCTCAGAGTCAGCTAGGGACCCCTCCTCTGTCAAGGTCATTTGGAAGTGGAGCTGGGAGGGATGGGCCCCGACCTTTGGCTCTGCAGGCTTCTCCATCCACAGACCTCTGCCCCAAGAAAGTGAGGTCAAAGTGAAGACCTTCCCTGCCTGCCTTTGGTGTCTGCTCACTTGCCCCGCCCCCCCAGGGGAGGGACTGGCGGAGGGGAGAGGAGTAACGAGGGAGGCTAAGATTAAGGCTTCCAGGTTAGCCTGCCTGGGTTTGACTCCTGCCTGGGTTTTAGCTCTGTGCGACCTTGGGCTTCAGTGTTCTCACCTGTAAAATGGGAATACCGATCATATTTCTATCCTCATGGGATTGTTGTAAGGATTAAGTGAGATCATGCGTATCAGGTAGTTAGAACAGTGCCCAGCATGTCATACGCTCTAAATAAATGTAAGTTACTGATACTTCCTAGGGGAGCAGAACTCAAAGAGGCCTTGGAGGTCACCTAGTCCTGGCCTGGAGAGGGACAGGGTTTTCCCCGTTGTTACACAGCAAATCAGAGTATGTGCTAGTGACTCTGAGGCTGGGGATGGGTGGGTGGGAGCTCAGAGTTCTAAGAAGTGGCAGGAGGGACACCAGCGGGGAGCAGAGTGGCCAAGAGCACGGGCTCCAGTAGAATCGGAGATCTGGTTCAAACTTCTGCCCTGCTTTGACCAGCAGGTGTACCCTTGGGCAAGTCCCTTCACCTCCCTGAATCCCGTTTTCTTTAACTCTTCAGTAGCATTATTCACACCTCCCTCACAAGGCCGTTTATGCATTTAGTAAAATTCACTGATCCATCGCTGACCGTGAGCCCGGTGTGGGCTAGCGCTGGACATCACGCTGGTGAATGAGACAGGTCAGGCCCCGCCCTCATGGAGCTTACCTCCCAGTGAACAGAGACAGGCAAGAAAAAAAGTAGCAAAGAGACAATTAGGAGAAGAGCTCCGAGGTCACTGGAGCAGGAGATGGAGGGTGCTGGATGGCAGAGGCTGGCGTGGCATTGGACAGCGTGGCCAGGGAGGGCCTCTCCGAGAAGGTGGCATTTGAGTGGCATCCTAGGAGATGAGAAGCCACTGGCGGAAGCTCTGGGCAAAGTAATCTCCAGGGAGAGGCAGTAGCAAGTGCAAAGGCCCCGAGACGCGTGTGCTTGGTGTGTTAGGAACAGCAAGGTGGCTGCTTGGCTGGAGGGCTGAGGGCGAGGGCAGGAGGTGGGGATGGTCAGCAGGCACCAGATCAGGTGTCCCTGATGGGCCTTCATAAAGAGGCCAGGTTTTCAATGAGTCGGAGAACCCCAGAAGGCTTTCAGCGGGGAAGAGAGCTAATGAATTTTATATTTTTAAGGAATCTCTCTGGCTGATGTGTAAAGGGGACACTGGCAAGGAGCGAAAGGGGCAGAGGGAGGAGGCTGTGGAACCGTGAGGACTGAAAGGGACGCCAGGGTGGCCAGAGGGTCTGACAAGGAGGGCAGCGAGGCAATGTCATCACCTCCTCCCGTTTGGCCTGGTCCAGGCCTTGAGAACACACTTGAGCAGAGATGAGGTGTCTAGCTCCGAGCTGCATCTTGAGGGCTTGGAGCTTGGATCGTGGGGGTGGGGGCAGCATGATGCTGAGGGCCAGGCAGGCTCGGGGGAGCCTGTGTGGGTGGGGTCTCCCTCTCTCTCTCTCTCTCTCTCAATCTCTCTCTTCTCTCTCTCTCACACTCTCTCTCTCTCTCTCTCTCTCTCTCTCTCTCTCTCTCTCTCTTCTGAGAACTGCTGCTGCTATTACTCCCTAGTGACTTTACATAATTCTGGCCCGGCTCCCTCCTCATTACGTCATGTGCTGAGTGGAGTCTAGGTCACTCCACGGCTTGCTGCGGTCGGGAAGAACAGACTTCTGGCTCCCCCCAGCACAGCAGCGGGCGCAGACCCTCCCCATGCTGGGGTGGGGGTGGCTAGGCTTGTGGGGGTGGAAGCGCGGTCCATCCCCAGCCCCAGGCCCTTTGGACAGCTCAGGCAAAGGCCTGCGGTGGGCTGTGGGTGATGGGCGGTGGAGGGTTCTGCTTTGAGCCACGTGTCTTCCCGGGGCTGGGGGTCCTCCCCTGGAACTCAGGCCCAGAAGAAAGAGGCAGGCAACTCCTGCGGGCTGCTTCTCTGAACCTCAGTTTCCTATGCTGTAAAAAGGGGGTAAAGACATCCAAGCTTGCAGGGACGTGTGACTTCCATGGGCTCACGGGGGAGCAAGATCGGGCATGTAATAGGAGCTGTTCTGAGGACAGAGGCCTGGGCACGTGCTGGAGGGGCAGACAGGGCAATGTCCCCTCAGAGTCACTTGGGGTTGCCTGGGCTTTAGCCCTGTGGCCTCTCCTCTTAACTACACTCCCATCTGTACCCCTGTCCTAGAGCCTGCCCCCAATCTCAGAGGGAATCAGAATAGGGTCAAGTCCCCACCCCTTGCACAGATAAGGAAAACAGGCTCATAGCGGGGTGTGGAAGTCCCACAGCCCAGGATGGCAATGCCAGAAGTGGAATCAGACCCCGTAAGTCCCAGCCCCAGGCCTTTTCTGAGGTGTAGGGTGCGTGCCACCCCAGGGGGTGCGGAGGGAGTTCTCCACCTTTACCCTTTCACACGCACCTGGTTTTTTCCCACCATGCTTTTTTTTTGAGGGGCGGGGGGCAGTTTGGTTTTGCAGTTATTAGGAAACTTGAACAACAGGGACCACGTCTCCCTAGCCAGCCCCTGAGAACAGGCGCTAGGCCCTTTCCAGCATCATTCTGTGTAAGCCTCATAGTAACTATTGAAGACTACGGATGATTGCCCCATTTTACAGGTGAGGAAACTGAGGCCCAAGGTCATACAGTTCGCAAGTGCGGCCCGGGGTTCAGACCTGGATCTGGGCACCCCAGGGCTCTCACCTTTCCCTGACACGTGCTGCCTTCTTCAGAAGCTCCTGGGATTGGAGACCCCCACCCCCGACCCCCACAACCTCATCCTGGTGGGGCCTGAGCTATGAGGGGAGGCGGAGAGCAAGTCCCAGAGCGGCCAGGATGTTTGGCCCTGGGTTCCCAGGGAGAGTTATAGGGCGTCTGAATTAAGGGGCGCAGTGAGGATGAAGGGCTTGTAACCCCTATGTCAGTGTCGATTAATATTCCTGACTCGGTGTTTACTAGGGATGGGGGAAGGTGAAGGGAAGAATGTGCCCTCCCCCTTGTTTCTAGAATTACGAAATTCTTGTTAGATCTTTAAATTTTATGTAAATTCTTCTTTTTTTCCCTTGGAAAGGTGGGGTATCATATTTTAATTAGTAGTGGTGTCAAAGGAGGGCTAGATTAATTATTGGAAATCCTGTATTCCAGATGGTTTTAATTTTCACAGCAGGGCACCAGGGTATATATTTTTAAATTTTTTTATTAAAATCATACCTAGTGTATTTTAGGGGCACTGAGGTCCGCTCTTTGTGGCTCCAAGGATGCTGTATTTAGGGCTATGATTTTTGTTATGGAGAAGCAAGTCCCTTGTCACTGAAATTAAAATTTTGTGGGTGAGGGAGGGGCAGGTGCTGAGAAGCAAAGGGTCAGGGATGGGAGGGTGAGATTGGGGGGGAGGTCATAGGCAAAGAAGGCAGGGGAGGGGAAGTGGGGACCAGGCATGGGGATGCACGACCAGAGAGGAGAGCGAGCTCAGAGAGTGTGCACGGCTGACCAAAGTCTCACAGCACCCGAGTGGGGGAGAAAATATGAACTGGCGGAGAGATAGGGTGGGGTCTGGATGTAGCCTGCCCTAAGCAAGGGACAGTCACCCTTTGGCCATTTGACGTCCGCGTTCAGTCAGGGCTTTCGGGGATCAGCTCTAGACACCCCCATCCTGAGGGTGGAAGGCTGGTTGAGTGTAAGGTGTCCTACCCAGGACCAGGGAATATTGGGTCTTGATTGGGTCTTCTGGGTTCTTGGGAGTTACTTACCTTTCAGCCTCGGTGACCTTAATTGAGGAAAGTGAAACATCCCGAAGCTAGCCTCCCTTCCCCGTGCCTGAACCTCACCTCCCAGGGCCTTGCCCACTTCAGGTGGCAAAGGTGTGGAAGAGGGAGGGCACCCCAGCAGGGAGTAAGGGGCCTCTGGAGCAAGGGGCCTCTGACCTAAATTCCAGAGGAAGTATCTCGACATCCCCCATGGCGGGCTGTGTGCATGTGCATGTACGTGTGTGTGCATGTGTGACACTCATGCCTCTGTCTGTCCCCTTATTCCAGAGACTGTTGTATGGCTGTCTGTCCTGCTTTGGGGAAAGGAGTTGAGGGGCTAGGGGAAGCGGGCGATGAAGGAAGAGAAGGACGCCCTGGTATTTAGCCGCAAGGGGCAGAGTTCCCCTCTGACTGAAGCCACTGGGTCCCAAGTAAAGTCCAGAGAAGCTGGGTATGGGGAACAGGTGGTGACAGCCTCCCTCTCCCTGCCCGAGGGGCAGGGTGCTCTCATAGGACCTATTAGAGGCCTCCCCCATGCCTGATTTCGGGGTACTGGGGGCCTGAGGACAGGGTCAGGCATCGTGTCGCCAAGCTTTCAGGCCCAGCCATTGCCCTGGTAAAAAAGCATGTCTTGTTCTCCTTCTGCCTTTCGAAGCCCAGCTCCTAGTGGAAACAGACACCTTCGGTAGTCAAGTCCGGATCAAGGGCAAGGAGACGGAATACTACCTGTGTATGAACCGGAAAGGCAAGCTCGTGGGGAAGGTGAGTCCTGGTCAGGAATTCTGGGGAACTTGGGTGGGTCCCCCGGCAGCTCTGGGTATCTGGAGCAGTGTGCCCAGGGCCCCAAATGGAAAACGGGCCCAGTGAGCGTTTGTGTGTGACTCCCACACAAATCTCTTCCTTTCTCCCGATTCTTCTCTGCCCCCCCAGCCCCCTCACCCTCACCCCGCCCTCGCAGCCTGCCAGGCAAGAGGATCAGAGGCTGTGACTTTGGGAGAGAATGCAGGGCCCTGATCTCTCCTGGTGGATGTGAGCTCTGGCTGGCTCTGGAGTGGGGGACCCCTCGGGGAGGAGGGGCTCTGGGGCTCCTCGCCTGCCTGCGTGTACCTGATGTCTGGGAACGCGGGACCAGCTGGCCGAAGGCTGGGCTGCAGCATCGTTTTAACAATCGCCAGGCGTTTACAGCACCGAGCTGCAGCCGGAACCCGGCAGCCTCGTCAGCGCCGGGCCTCACGGTTCTAGCGTTTCAGGAAGATTTTATTACTTTGGAACGGGCAAGAGAGCTGCATGTAACAAATTAGGGCGGGGGCGGGGTGTGCCAGGGACGCTGAGCCTCCACCGATGCTGCTACTCGGCGCCCCGCCCCCCGTTTTCCCCCGATGTGTTTGTGAAGTTCACACACTCGCTTCCCTCGGGTGTTCCAGGGGAAGGCGTTAGGTCTGTGCTGGGTGGAGCCTGCATCCCCTTCTCTCTGCAGGGACCCTCCTCACCCCAAGTTGGATGGGGGTGGGGGGCTTATGCTGGACAGGTGGAGTGGGGTCGGGGCGCAGAGGAGACCCAGATTCCAAGGTGGCCGGTGTCTCCTGCTCCTGGCTACATTTGTTGTACCTTGTCGAGGACAGGTAATGACCTCAGTCCTGGTGAAGCCATGTTTTTGGTTCTTGAATTGGCCAACTCTTATCCCTCTTCCAGGCCGCCATACACTGGGGAGAATATAACAAACAGGCCAAGGACCTGAGCCAGGGTATTGTCACTTGTTACTTATTAATAATGAGAGTACTACTAGCCTCTGTGAATTGAGCACCTACGCTCTGCCAGGCACTGAGCAAAAATGCTCCCACCCATCCCCGGGGGGTGGGCGTTGGCACCACGACCATCCCCATTTCACAGCCGGGGAAGCTGAGGCGGGGCCACTCCCAGGCACTTGTCCCAGGTCGCACTAGAGCTGGGCGGGATGCAAAGCCCGATTTAGAAAGCAGAGATTCCGGCCGCGCTGCCCACACCAACTGCCGCTTCTCAAAGAGCAAAATAATAGTAATCGCGTAGCGGGATGACGAGTGGTTTTCATTAGTGATTCACTTTCCGCGGCGGGCGCGGGGTCTGGGGCAGGGGCGGCGGCGGGCGGCGGGCGGGCGCGGGTCCCCTGGCCTGGCGGTGCGTTTCCTGTGGCGGCCCGGCCGCTCCGCGTCGGGCGCTTTGTTCTCCTGCCCGGCCGGGCCGCCTCCCAGGCCCAACCTGCCCGCAGTTCGTTGTAGGCTCGGCCTCCTTTTCCTGTTTAAAGGAGGGGCGCGCAGCCGCCAGCCCTGCCCAGTGCGCGCGCGCCCCGCCCTCTGGTCTGCGCGGTTCCCGGCATCTTGACCCCAGGAGAGCCGTCGTGGGGTCAAAAGAGCAG